AGTATCTCTAACTCAAAGACAAACTGTCGTTAATCTCAAATTTCTGCACCCACATCTGAGACCTCTAATCACAAATACCAATGACTTCCATATTATTAAACCTACTGGTCGCTGTTTATCACATTCCTTCTCCTGAAAACATTTCTCTTGGCTTCACTGAGGGAATCTTGACTTTTTTATCCTACTGCACTGACCATTCCTTCTCAGTCTCCTTTTCTACTCGTTCCTCCTCTTAATTAGGTTCTAGACCATTAAATAGTGCCATGCCTCAGGGAGCAGTCTTCGACTACCTCAATCTCATCACTAGATGATATCCCCAACTTTCATAGATTTACACACCATCTATATGCAAAAGATTCCTAGATTTCCATTCCCATTCTGAACTAAACTCATCACCAGCTGCCATGACTAACTTTAATGACTAACAGGCATTTTAAACTCAACATGGCCAAAACACATGATTCCCAACTGCCCAATCTATTCTCCCAGATTTCTCCATCCCAAAAAACAGTACCACTGTCCATGCAGTTGCTGAAGCTAAAACTCAGGAGTCACCCTCAATTTCTCCCTTGCTTACTTCACATTAATATAGCAGCAAGTCTGGATGGCTCCTCATCCAAAATCCACCCCCAATCCACCCACTTCTCCATCACCAGCATCTAAGCTCCACCATCTTAGTTAACTGCCCTTTGGCTTCCTGTGACAGTCTCCTAACTGGTCCCCCCACCTCCACTCTCGCTCTCTGCAACCCATTCCCCACACTGTGGCACTATCTGTCTTCTTAAAGTGGAAAATGTATCCTGTCATTCCCCTGCACAAAACCAAATAGCTTCCCTTTTATTCCTAAGAATAAAACCCAGACTCTTACCACCCATGGCCTGTAAGATACTACTTATATCTGGGCCCTTGACTATGTCTTTGACCTCAACTCCTCCCACTTCCTCTCCTGCTCACTGGGCTCCGCTTGCACGGGCCTTTCTGACCTGTAAAGACACCAAGCTCATTTCTGCTTTAGAACCTTTGCATTGGCTATTCCCTCTGCCTAAAATGCTCCGTCCTCTGATATTTGCACAGTCACTCCTATATGTCATTCACATTTCCAACTGAAGCCACTTCCTCTGTGTGGCTTTTCCTTACCACCCACTCTTCTCTCTTCTCGCTCTAGCCATTAACTGACACCTCTGAGAGAAGCATGCTCTTTGACTTGTCCATAAACGTGTGTCTTAAAAATAACAAGATACATGACATGCTATAGTTACACATCTGTAAATATTCCAAATTCACCACATTGTCAAATCCAATTAAATATTTGCTGACTACCTTCTATGAAAAAGACAGTGTGGGCAATAAGATGGTCCTGCCCTAACCATCTTAAATAAAGCTTCTCCAGCTCTTGGCCTGGTCAAAACGACATCCATATTTAAAAGGCATTGCCAGAAATTTGGTAAAACCTCTTAAGATATTCCCTTCCAGCCCATCACTATCCTAATTCTGTTTTACACATACACCAGGTACAGGATGTGAAATCCTGTATAAGGGCTCACCTGCAGATGTCTACGGCATGTTTAACTTGAGTTCCAGGCCTGAGGGTAAATCTGGTACCCCTGCTTCCAGGCCTTGTTCACTCTCGCTCCACAGCATCCTTGGAATACACATCTTCAACCATCTTTCTGGTACTCGCTGTCCTCATTGTTCACTGAATATGGTCTATTTATTCCACATGGCCTGATAAAAGCCCTCATTTTTCTGTGCCTTCTCTCTACCTCCAAAGGGATCAGAATGTATCCAACCACAATTGCACTTAAAGAGAGACAATTGAGACTCGGCCTTGAAAAGCAAGAACTGATCCAGTTTCCTTCTTGGCCAATGTAAAGAGACAGATTCAAGGTGACTAGTCATTAGAACTGTGGTCATAAGACACAGAAAAGATTTACCTATGGGGCTCTGTTTCTTCATCTATAAAATGAGCCAGTTAGGCAAGATGATCCCAAAGGGCTTTTCAACCTCGGAGAGGAGTCCCAACCTTAGCCCCATTAGGAGAGGGCTTCATTGATCTCCAGCATTTTCTTCATGCGCCCGACACTCTACTACTTCAAATTCCAAAGTCACAGGCCCGACTCCAAATGATGAGGACAAATACCCACTTTGGTTCACTCAAGGCCATCACAAAAGGAGTAGACTGACAAGATGTCGTCATACCAGTATCTCCTTACCAAAACAAAATCAGAACTCTCTCAGTCCTGAAGACCATTTGGTAGTTGTAAGAACGAGTTTCACAATCTGGCCTTCAGCAAGCTGAAGAGCAAAGTTTGTCCCATTTATACCTTAAAAATCGGAAAGTTATTTTGGAAGTGGAATTATATGACTCTCACAGAGGAATATAGTTAATTCTTAACAAGCAGCAATGTCAAAAGGCATGGGATCCACTTAAGACACCTACCACTTTCCCAATGTCTTCAGTCCTGGCCACACAGACTCTGACAATCCCACATGCAGTCTTGGCTTTGCCATAAAGTCACGCCTGCCTTGCCCAGACCACTATGCCGACATATTTCACTGATGGAAAAATGGGGAGCAGGAGGTCTCATTTCTTTCTAGCTAGTCTTAGCTCAGCTCACCATGTGGCAGAGCTATACTTTCAGAGGCTGCCAGTCAACACTTTCTCTGCCATGCCTCTCCCCAGACAACACTATGTACAATCCCATTCTCCAAGCTTGATTAACCTGATTAACATTTTTTCAGGCTCAGTAAACAAGAAACTTAATACATATGCCTCACACAAGGGGTAAAGAAGGAAAGCAAACAAGTGTTTCTTTGATATGTAACTTCAATTACTCACACAAGTAATATTTTAACAAAGACACCAGATAAATCCTTGCCAAATGACAATTTAGAAGCCTTCTTCGGGTACAAATGCATATTAAGTACTAAGATACTTGCCACATGCAAGAACAAAGTAATATGTACTGTAATATACCAGGACCATGTATGTATCAGATTTTCAGTCAGGCTAGTTGTTAAGGGAGCATTTTTGATGAAGGGTGAGTCTATATAAAAGACAAATTCAAGGACACCTCAAGGATTGTATAAATCTATTTTTGTTCACAAAAACAGATACTATTAACTTTATAAGTAAAGCAAAATATTCTGGTTCATTTTAAGCAAGTTGGGGTGCCTTTTTATTGAGATATAAATCATATATAACATTACATTAGTTTCAGGTATACGACATGATGTTTTGATACTTGTATATATTGTGAAATGATCACCACGATAAGACTAGTTAACATCCATCATCACACATACGGTAGTTATTTTTTTTTCTTACGATGACAACTTTTAAGATCTATTCTTTTAGCATATTTCAAATATAAAATACATTGTTAAGTGAAGTTATCATCCTGTACACTGAATCCCATGACTTATTTTGTAACTGGAAGTTTGTACTTCTGACCCCCCTTGCCCACTTTGCCCACCTCCCCCACCCCAGAATGCCTCGCTATACTTCTTTCAGTCACAGGATTAAATATACAATGAGCAGATCTCGATTTAAACAAATACAGTATAATAGAGGAGAATGAGTTACAAATGTAGAGTCAGAAGCCTTGGTTTTCAGCCTCAGTTCCAGTAATTACCAACAAAGCTGTCACAGGTTAATGATCTCATGTGCGAGTTTTATCCTTATCATCACTATCATTATTTCCACCTCACAGATAAGGAAATTTATACCATTTTCCATGATCGCCATGAGATCTTGACCCGAACCTATCTTTGAAAGTGTTCTACTAACAGCTTAATAGAGTATATATGAGACAGGAATTCATTCTACCAGGAACAGGCTCCATTTCCATTGTCCACACTTTACTATGTATCAGGGGCCTTAAAACTTCATACCTGATAAAACGAGATGAAACAAGAGTGATGGGTATATGAGAGCTCGTCATACTATTCTCTCTGCTTTTGTATATGCTTGCAACTTTCCATAATAAAGTTTCTGTAACTAGTTGATCTACTAATTTTTTTCACTCCCCTTCTCAAGATATAGAATATTGTCATAGCACCATGATTTTTCTGGTTTTCCATTTTTTCAACCAAGGTTGACTGACAAGTTCCTCTCTAGAGATTCATCAGTCCTACTCACAGAGGTCTCCTCTGGCAAGTAGGAAAGGGGCCACTTGAAGACCAGGATGTTCAATACTGAAACACATATCTTTTTCTTTTGGTCAGGAAAACTGACCCTTTTCTCTAACTGGTGTCACCACAGTAGTAGTCCCCTACAGCTAAGCTCTCCAATCAGTCTAAGTATAGGTAGGGGCGGTCTCTAGTGGGGCAGTTTCTACATTTGATCCTTGTAACTTTTATTCTAAAATATTAATTATATGCTTTGGGTTGGTTCTCTGTTCACTACTTTTGCTTGTCTTTTTAATCTGAAGATGCACGTCCTTCAGCTTTGGGAGATTTTCTGGCATTATTTCTTTCATCATTTTCTTCTCTCAGTTTTCACTGTTCTCTCAATCAGAAACTCTTATCAATCAGATACTGAACCTCTGAAACTAATCCTCCCTCTATGTCTCTTCTCATTGTTGCACATTTTCAATACTTCTGTATTTTTCTTCTACTTTTCAACCACTTTTTTGTTTGTTTTACTTTTCGAGATTTCTTCATCATCTTCCAACTTTACAATTTTATTTCAGTGATCATATTTTAACTTCCAATTGTTCTTTTTCCACAGCATCCTGTTCTTGTTTCGATTTTATACCCCTTTGAACTCTTAGTGAACACTAAGAATTTTTTCCAAACTATTTTTTTTCATTAATTCACATACTTGGTTTACCATGTGCTCTATTTATATGCTTATGACGTCAGTCACATGTCTGATCCTGCTCGCCTAGGAAGAGAAAAACCTGTACCACGTGCAAATAGGATATAATCAATTACTTTTTTTGCTAATGACTAGAACAAAGAAAATACCTAAGTACACAAGAAGTGAGCCAGCTTACCTTCATGGAGTCTGAGTATAAAATATATTCCCTGAGCACAGGTAGAAAGTCTTCTGTCATGTCATCTGTCAGTTCTTCCAAGGCTGTGGAGCAGTTGCCAATGCAAGCTGACACCCCTTCCAGGGGTTCTGCCAGCTCTCCCTCTAATGCACTCCATGTGGAGTACACAGGGCCATATTCTCTCAGCTCTACAAGGTACTCTAAAGGGGGAAGAGAAATCAGTAAAATCTGGCTGGGCAGCAATCACTGGTATTAACTGACTCAATAACCACTGCAGCCAAGAGTTCTCTACATTAAGATGTCTTTCCTTGGCTACTAACTCACCTGAGCATGCTCTCCTTTAAACACAATACTGCTTATAACATATACAAATACATATACATACATACATACATATATACATACATATATGTTTAAATCTTGAAAAGATGATGTTACAGCTAAAATTGTAACATCAACTCCACCCCATACTGGGAATGCCATGCCTCTGAATAATGGAGACCACAATGCCTTCCGGGGAAAGTCACAGGCGCTGTATCCACCAACTATCTTCAAAAATAACCATTCTCCTACCCACACAGTGAAGCACTACTTTAACAGACAATGGGGGCAGTTTCCTACAGGTTTAGGGGGATGTTTTTAAAAGACAAAAAATCAGTTCCAATGGAAAAATAATAGAATTTTAGGAAACATTTGATATAGGAGATGTGGTCTTACATTGGCAGACTCACTCTCAGTCAGGAGTCACCCCAACACCTTACTCCCATCAGAATTTACTCCACGTGGTCCTTAGATGTGGATGGTACCTAAAGCTATCTCCCAAACCTGCAGGCCCAATGTGATACCATCAGTGGGTAAATGAGAATTAAAGCACAGGGAACAACAAAAAAAGCTATTTCCCCCCATAAAAAAAATCTGGGCCATCATCTGTCACCAGGATGCTTGCCATGACAATGAAATGCTGTTGCCATTTTTTTTAGTAACCGATGGAGAGCAGCTACCGGAGAATCCTTTTCAACGTGCTTCACATCAAGTGCCAGCATGATCGTTAACATTTTGGGATACAGAAAAGCAAGTGGCCACAGGAGGGGTGGGGAGGAAGTGGTGGCGACAATCAGGAAGAATAAAGAAAGGCCTGGTAACTCTGAGTCTGAAATGTAGCAGGGCGGGGCATGTAAATCAATTTCAAGTCTGAAGGCTCATAGGATCCTAACTTTGGCAAACATGGGTCACCATGCTGTCCTTTTGAACCATCTTTCTACCGGAAAAGATACCTAAGTTTACTTTTTAAATTAACATTCCTACGAATGAAAGGAAGTTGAGCCAATGTCTCTACTTTTCAAGCTACGGTGAAGACAGAAGACAGTGGGAACGTCTAGAGGTGCAGACGTGGCTGTTTGCCCTGGGGAAAGAAAATACAACGCTGAAATGAAGGGCAAAAAAATGAAGCGCAAAATTATAGTCTGGTCACGACCACTTCCTCCCCTCCTTGCATTTATTTGTTTGTAAGTAAAATGGGGCCTGGTTCTGTCTCACCAGTTGATTCTGCTTAGTACATGTGAATGCCATTTCTGCAAATGTAGTCCCTCGGCATGTTACGATCTCAATAAAGAGCTCACCTATTTCTTCCTTGATGATCCGCTGGGCTATCCGATCTATGGTTCCCAGTTTGAGTGCAAATGTGTCTAAGTACTCTCCTATGGCTGCGAACTCAAGAGGCCGGCTCCTAAGTTTGTATCCTCCGGTGACATGTTTGACCGACTCGCCCACTCTGGTCAGCAATGCCATCCCTTGCTTCTTGTAGGCGTTCAGGTCCTAAGGATGACACATGAATAAACAAACCTTGAGGGCTCGACCACTTACACGGGCCAGGACTCAGTAAACCAACTCCTTTAGGCAACTGCTTTTTGAAAATAGAGGACTCAGAAAATAAGGAGCTGAGTGAGAGGACCTAACCATATACCCAAAAGTGTGTCCTCTCTATGCCATCACAACCAGCAGGCTCCAATTCCTATGTGGTGACAACCTGATCTCTTTCAACAGAGCTGGACTCCTACCTTTCTTATCAGGTTTACTCGCCTGAGCATGCTTTCTTTGAAACAGAACACTGTGTTTCCAACATAATTTTTTAATATTTCTGACCCAAAACAAAAATCCCTTTCTTTCTTGCAAAATATCCTAAGTTGTCTTTAGGAACAAAATTCAAAAACTGAAATTCATTCCATTCATTTATTTATATCTCAACCAAAGCCAAATAAGGAAAGTAGAAAGTAGGGTGGGAAGCCAAAAACAGTAACAGAAAAACCAGTGTCAGAAAATTCATAGCAAGGGTAGATGCTGTAAACAACAAAACATTTACCCTGGACTTCTTGGTCTAGGCATAAATGGGAAATACATTGAGCTACATAATCCAGTGTATCTAAGTTAAAAAAGCATATTAGTCTGCCAGGTAAAACAAGCTTCTTCCTACTATTAAACGCTAAGAAGAATCTATAGTATCTTCAGGTTGTCTTATGTCCCTTACTTTAATGGTGCATTTAAAAATGGTGTAACAGAAGATACAGGTGTCTGTTCCTTATATGCACCCTCAATACAAACAGAATGTTAACTCCTAGTCCTAGAAGGGCACGTCTACAGGGAGATAAGGAGACACGACACAAAGCAATTGCTTTCTGGTGGCTCAGCCTGATATAGGGATAGGGCAGAGAACAGGGAATCATGGTTAACACAGCTATCCAACAGCCCCTCCCCAATTCGACACACAGTTGTAGGCTCAAATCTCCATATGTGTCAGAAGTGTAGACTCCTCCTCATTTGACTTCCTTCTCCTTCTTCATGCAGTCAGAACCTTCACTTTTGCTCTTGATTTCATCTTTTCCTCTTCACCATGTCCCAACCAAGGTCCTTGCCCTATCAACCATCCCCTCTCCTGTCTGTATCTTCAACTTGTAATCCTTCATATAAAATATACCGAAGGCTCACCCAGCTTAAAAACAGCAGAAGTCACCTCCAGCCCACTTCCTCCACCTCTCTTCTGCCTTTCAAAATCAAGCTGCCTGAGAAAATGTTCTAAAGATTCCATTTCCCCTTTTAACCTCATATGCTCTAAACAAAATATATCCTAATAGGTACCAGGCTTTCCCGAGACCATAAAAAAAGCCTTGGACTTCTCAGAATTGCTTCCACAGACAATATTTTTTGGAGCAAACTGGGCTCATTGGACTGCATAAGCTCTACTTCAAGTAGAGCTTTGAAATTAACCAACGTAACATGTTGAATACAGTGATGCAGCAGTACCTATCTGATTGCTGCATCCATTCTGTCAAAGATGAAAAGGTTGATTTGAACATATTTGATACTGAGTGTCCCCTCCCTCTCTGCCAGAAACACTACTGGCTTCTTCTTTAAGACGCTTCTAATTTGTGATAGGATCCCGTCATCACAAGCAAGAGGAATGCTTCTGCATTTGCTGTGGCAGAACATGCGAGTGGGTAATTTAAGAACAAGACCGAGATATTCATGATGTATTAAAAGATGGGGGGCTGGGGAGAAAAAAAGATGTGGGGAGATGCGGAGTTGTTCTTTAATGGGTATAGTGTTTCGGTTTTGCAAGATGAAAAAGTTCTAGAGATTAGTTGTACAACAATGTAAATATACTTGACACTAACGAACTGCACGTTTTCTAATGGTTCAGACGGTAAATTTTATGTGTATTTAATCACAATTAAATAAAGAGTGGAGTACCCCGGGTTTCCTGGCTGGTTTTGCCAACAAAGAAGTGCAGAGAGAGGTCAGTGATTGACCAACTTGAGTTCGAATACATAGACTCTGGCAGCTGGGTAGGACCCAGATATTTCTCTGGCAAATGCTGGGAAAATGTCCACCTGAAAGGAACTTGGCTGAGGGCAAGTAATGCTGAAGTACTCTTGGTCAGGCAGTGTGATACAGAGGGAAAGTGTGGCCTCAGGGGCCACGAAGGCCCAATTTCAAATCCTAGTGATGCCACCTGAATATGTACAAACTCCCTGAACTTCAATGTCGTCGTCTGTAAATGGGGTTGTGAGGAAACACTCACAGGGTTCTTGTGAAGAACATACTTACCACGTACTCAATACATGTGTTTACCCTTCTGTGCCCACTGTTGGTCAATCTGGCCTCAACCAGTAAAATGCCAAGGAGTGTTGAAGGAAACACTTCTCTGTGCTTCTGGCAAGTGGAAATATTCTACCTTCCTCTGCTGCTACAAGGGGGCGTTTCTCCTGAATTCTAACATAGAAACCATGCTAATGCAAACCTGCACCAAAAGCAGAGCAGTTCGATGACACCCACTATAGTGGGCAATGCACAAAGGTGGCTCGTGAGAGATCAAAACAGCTTTTAAGAAAAAGCCCGAAGAATGCTAATTTGGGGGAAGAAATATGAAAAATTCTGTCCTTACCTTAGCAGTAAGGAAAACATTAAAGTGTTCATTGAAAGAGAGCACAGGATGATCTGTAATTCTTTTGAGGAATTTATCCAAAGCTTTTCTTCTGGTCTCCACAAACTCTTCTGAAAAACGATCTACTACACCTTTCACCACGAACTTCTCAGGAAGTGGCTATGAAGACAGGAAGAAAAATATTCAGAGTAATTGATAAAATGGTGCAAAGAAAAACCATCAGGCTAGCAAATCACTCCTACGATCCATCTGTCTGAGAACAGTGTTTCTTAATCAGTCCAACCTTTATTTGCTAGTCATCAATATAAACATTTTTGAAAAATAAAAATGGAATAAATCACGACTACCCTGTCAATGTTACAATGCAAGAAATAAAACACTAGAGCATAGTCTGTGGAACACAGAAAACAGTCAGTCAATGTTTATCCAGCAAATCCAACAGTCTAGCTATCTTTACATTGCTTGATGCACAAGTGATATAATGAGAAAGTTAGGACAAGATAAGATAGCCTAAGGAAGGAAGGCAGACAACATCAACCACATAAATATGCGGTTACCCAGTTCAAGGGGTAAAAGAGCATGGCAGCTTGAGAAATAAGCACATTAGGCAAACCCATGTATCTAAGAAAAGACCTTTCCTAATCCATTTTTTTTGTTCCTTTATGTTTACACTCAAAAGTTCTTAAAGATGCAACTTCCTTTACTCCCCTTCCTCAAAAGAATTTATCATATTTACTTTGAGCCCATATTGTGGGTAATTTCAAACTATCTAGCTACCAAAGGATCTCTAAGCTTTAACCTATTTCCGTAGTAGCTCGATTAAATGCTTGATTTAAAGGCCTTTCTCAATACTGCCACCACGAGGAAAGAAGGTAGCTGCTAATGTACAATTTGAAATGTTCTAGTTATGAAATATTAAAAGAATATTTACATTAAAAATGGCCAAGTGATCTGGTGGAGATGTCTCCAAAGAAGATATACAAATGGTCCAATAAGCGCATAAAAAGATGTTGAACATCATTAGTCATTAGGGAAATGCAAATCAAACCCCTTCACAATGAGATACCCCTTCACACCCACAAGGATGGTCATAATTTTTTAAAAAGGAAAAAAAAAAAAAAAAAAAAAAGAAAAACAAACATATTGGAGAGGATGTGAAAAAAACTAGAACAACTTCTTGATATGACCATGAAGAGATCTTCTTTTTAGGTTATAAATCCTCAAAGACAAAACAAAACAAAACGAAACCCCCACAGAAATAAGATACAGCAACAAGGGCTTAGCCAACCCAAAAAAGTAGAATCCTAAGCCACTTTGAGTGGAAAGGGAAAGAAGAACCCAGGTTGATAACACAGAACCTATGAAAGATTTAGGAACTTGGGTGTGTGGAATTTGACAGCCTCAACTTGAAAGGGCTTTGCAAAGTCAGTGTATTTTAATTCCCAAGAGCAAAGACTCGGGGTGAGGCAGGGGATTGGGGGGAGGGGAATGCCTCCTGGTTCCTCTTTTGCATCTGCCAAGCTGTTTGACTTTGGTCAAGTTGTATAATCTCTTGATATCTGTTCCTGCATCTGTAAAAAAAACAGTATCAACTTCACTTTTTTAAAAAGGAAAATAAATTAGCTATGAGGATTAAATTAGCTATGAGGTTGACCGTGCGTGGAACAATTCCTGCCACAGAGTAGACGTTTGAGTGTTTTGGGTTGTAGGAGTGGCAGCAACCTCAGAGAACTGCTCATCTTCAGGGACACCCAGTGTTCGATTAAATCTTGAGATGGTGAGAGTGTTCAGAGGACAGGCTAGGAATTGAGGGATTTATTTTTAACAGAGCAGGAGTTCTATAGGGCACAGTGGAAAGGTTCAGCAATAATGGAAGAGAGGGGAGTAGAGTCAGGAATATAATTACAGAGCCACATGGGGATGACATGTCCAAGTCGGATACCCAGGAGAGCTTACGCTTGGGTAAAACATTAGAAAGGCACAAGGGTCAGACCCACACGCCACCCAGCCCAATGTTCCAACATCAGTGAAGCTGTCTCAACAGGATATGACTATCCTTTAGGATAATTCCTTTATCCTTATCAATTCTTTCTTCTATTGCCTTAGGCAGCCATTATCCTTAAACCGTATACTCAGCTATCAACCTTTCATGCTAAGCAGATTACCATCTCTCTGAAGTAGGAACCACGTGTAAGGGCATCACATGGAAACTCCCTAACCATTTTTCTTCCTCCACAGAAACTCACCTACTGGGCACCACCCTCACCTCCCTTCCTCAGATCCCTGTGGACAACATATGCCTCCGCAAAGCTATCAATTCCATCTGTGTCCTGGACCCAGATTGTTCACTATCGTGCACTTGTGTCACCAATTAATTATACCTTCTCTTCAGTATCTTCCAACATCTCCTCCTTATCCAGCTCTACTCCCTGAGTCTACAAAACTACGGCTAAGTTCCCTTTCTACCAGAAAAAAACAATCCAACTACCCCTTGACCTTACATCTCCTCTAGTCTCTTCCTCATTTCACCATTTTGAAAAAATCATTTATCTTCACTTCTACTCTTCTACTCTTTCCGTTGATTTCTCAACCCCCAACCTTCTTCCACCCCAAAACAAAGCTTTCTGTGGTACTACCTGCAGTTTCTCCACCACGTTCCTACCCAGTTGCAGAAACTGCTCTTTTAAAATGAGCAGTGACTTTCTAGTTACCAGATCCAGTGGATATTTTTCTGTTCTTATCTCATGAGTCCTGTCAAGCGTTCTCTCATTTACTTATGCTTCATACGAATTGGGAGGGAGGCCTAATGAGCAAATAAGTGATGAGGTGTGACTCATTTCACATAACAGATAACCTTCTGAAATGGTTACCCATTCTTCAGATTTATGTTTACACTGAACTTGATGTTTAATGAATCAGCAAAGTTTGCTATCTAAAGGAACCCTGGGGAGAATCCTTCTGCAAACAGAATTTCCTTCTGTGATAAGCATTATTCTTCTCAAACACACATAGCTTTGAAAATTGGTTTCTTCCTGTTTCAAGCTTCCTTAAAGGAACACACCTACTCTCAGCGTCACCTTTATAATTACCTTCTGGGTTTTTATACATAGGAATCTGGGTTACTGGTGAAATCAAGGACATCCATACTCTGTAAATGAGGTAATTAAATGCAAGTGAAGAGCTCAATACAGCTCCAAGCTCATGGTAGATGTCAAATGAATGCCAGCTCTTTTTATAAATTTGTAAACACTGAGAACAGAAAGCAAAAAGAAGTGTGAACTAAAGGGTGGAACTTCCATATATCTTTTAAGCCAAATGTTTTTTAAAATATCATCTGGGATGGCATTTCACACCCACAAGGATGGTTATAAAAGAAAAAAAAAAAAAGGAGAAAAACAAGTGTTGTCAAGTATGTGGAGAAACTGGAATTTCCATAAACTGCTGGTGGCAATGTTAAATGGTGCAGCCACTGTGGAAGTTTGGCAGGTCCTTAAAAAATTAAACATAGAATTATCATATGACCCAGCAATTCCACTTCTTGGTATATTATCAAGATAACTGAAACCAAGCATTCAAACAAAAACTTGTACAATAAATGTTCAAACAGCATTATTCACAATAGCTGGGCTGGGGAAAAAGGGAAATGGGAAGTGCTGAGTTAATGGGTATGGGGTTCCTTTGGGGGATGATGAAAATGTTCTAGAACTAGAGGTGGTGATTATAAAACATTGTGAATGTATTAAAAGCCACGGAATTGTGCGCTTTAAAATGGTGAACTGCATCTCAATTTTAAAAAATGTGATGACAGGAGACGTCAAGAGAGGAGAGAAGATGCTATGCTGCTGGCTTCGAAGATGAAAGAAGAGGCCGTGAGCCAAGGAATGTAGGCGGCCTGTAGAAGCTGGAAAAGGCAAGGAACAAATTCTCCCGCAGAGCCTTCAGAAAAAAAGCAGTCCTGCCTGCATCTTGATATGAACCCACTGAGACTGATTTTGGTTTTCTGAAATCCAGAACTATGAGATAAGAAATCTCTGTTGCTTAAGCCACTTAAAAAAATAATCAGCTGGTATGGGGGTAAGGGAGTGGGTAGGGACAGGGATGAAACAAGGTTGGCCGTAAGTTGATAAATGATGAAAATGAGTGATGAATATATGAGGGTTCATTGCTTTGAATCTCTCTACTTTAGCATATTTGAAAATTTTGCATAATAAGTTTTTTAAAAGTATATATACATACGTATGTTGAAGCTGCCAAAAATCCTATTAGCAAAACATGACAATAACCCATTAAATATTTCAAGGTTTAATCTTATAATATTTACGTGTTTATAGCACTTCATACTTTGGTAAAGTACTTTCACATATATTTCATATTAGTTTATAGTAAAGTATTTTACAATCTGTGAGGAAAAAGAAAAAAAAGCATATTTCCTATAGACTTTCAGTGAAAAGCTACTATATCTGGATGGGAAATCCGGACAAAGATTTCAGTTACTCAGTCTTGAAATCTCCAACTTCCTCTTGTCAGTATTAAAACTGCTTCTTCTGTGGAATTCAACAAAGATTTAGTGCATACTACTGCATGACAGAAAAGTATTTTTCCTATCCCTATCAATCTAACAGAAAATACTGCTCCTAAGCAAAAATAACTAACAAATAAAAGAGCATCAAGATTAAAAGCTTTGTTCTGATAAAAAAACAAAACAAAACACCAAGCTTGGTTTAATTCAAAGTACATGAAAGTTCAACCAATGTTTCACTACTTATTAACTTTTCTACTGGGTAAGCTAAAGGCATGTATATTTAACTACTAAAAAGGAGGAACCAAATAGAAAATGAAGTTAGGGTTTTAATGATTATTTCATATTAAGGAAAACAGTTGTTGCATTATTAATGTTTTTCTAATTAATTCTTGAGTTTATTTCCACCCAAAACAGGTGCATAAGTACAAATGCGTCCTTCTAGCAAAGCTTCCTTCATACTAAAGCAAGCATTAAATTTCCAAGTGAAATTAAATACTAAAGTTTAATAAATATATTTGTTTCATCTCAAAAATCTATCTGTGCCCATCGAATCATGAAATCTATCTGCTATGTAACTAACTAGCAGTGAAGCAGTGTTAAAACTAACTTCTGAGCCAAACTAAATTGAAAAACAAAAATGTCACTATGAAGACTTTCTGGTGGCTCCTACTATTGGATAATAAAGACATTCAAAGTGAACTGCCATTATGAGATGACAAACATATATATCCAGCACACTTTCAGTTTTAAGATGGCATTTTAAGAACATATGATTATTTCTTTCTGCTTTAAATTCCAGAGGAACAAAGCAATATAAAAAGAGAAAAATCTACTGCAACACCAGAAAACATAAAAGTACTGTTAACAGGACAGAATCTGTTAAAGACACAAAGCAGAAAAGATTGGGGTGAGAGAAAAGTCAGTCAATATTAAGCATCTTGTGATTCTACTCAGGCAAAGGAAAGGTTGTCCCAGAAAAGTAAGGGATTGGATTTCTCCAGTAGAGCCTCAGAAACTGCCAAGTTCAGGGCCACAGGGGCTAGAAACAAAGGCAGCCAACAGAGAAAGGCAAATGAAAGAACTTGGGTGCCTCCCTGGAAGAACAGTCTGGCTGGCTGTTCACCTACAATTTCACACAACTCCAATGAAGCCCAGGTAACGAGTGAACTTTATCTCCACGCTCCTAATATAAGCAGTAGAATTTGAAAACTCAGGAACTCACACACATTTTTAATCATAGCTGATATAAGTTGTCAGGAGAAAAAAAAAAAAACAGAAACTCACCACCATTATTCCCCCAACTTTCCCAATTGATTCAAAAGATTCAAAACGTGCAAATACCTAGAAAAGCCCTGAAATCTAAGTACCTACGGAAATAGGGCACATCCAACCAGATGTTGAAACATTTGGTAAAGTTACAATACTTCGAATAGTGTAGGAAGGGTGTTGGACTAGACAGATCGATGAACCAAAAGTTTCAGAAACAGCCCAAGAATATACAAGTCTAATGCATGGTACAGTGTAATACACAAATTATGATAAAGGTGATTGATTATCCACATAAATGGTTCTGGGATAACTCACCATGCGAAAAAAAGAAAGGTCCTCCCATGTCACATCAGAATTCTACATTTACATATTAAAAATAAAGACATATAAGTAATAGAAGAAAATCCAGAAATACATTTTTACCATCCTCGGCTAGAAATGCGCTTCACAGACAGAAACTGTAAAGGAAAGATTAACTTGGCTGAGAGATGTTATTTTTATGGAGTCAAGTCTAAGATGACAACTGGAGAAAAAAGAGATATTCCCAACTGAGTTCATTTCCCTTGCAGATATGGAGGTCTTGCAAATCAATAAAAAAATAAAATAAAATAAATAGAAAATAGAAAATGAAGAGGCATTCATAAAAGAAATACCAATGTCCAAAAAAGTCATAGGAAGATATGAGGCCTCACTAGTTAAAGAAATAAAAACTTATTGTGCAAAAATGAACTCAAAATGGATAAGGACCTAAATGTAAGCGCTAAAACTATAAAAATCTTAGAAAATGACATAGGTATAAATCTTCACGAGCTAAGACTAGGTAATGGTTTCTAAGATATGACACCAAAAGCATAAGCAACCAAAGAAAAAATAGAATAATTGGACTTCATAGAAATTAAAAGCCTTTGAACTTCAAAGGACACCATCAAGAAAGTAAAGAGAAAAACCATTAAATGGGAGAAAATTATATCTGACAAAGGACTTGTATCTAGATTATACAAAAAACTACGACAAACTCAATAATAAAAAGACAATCTGATTTTAAAATGGGCAAAGGATCTAAATAGATATTTCTCCAAGGAAGAAAACAAATGATCGACAAGCACATAAAAAAAAAAAAAATGTTCACATCTTTAACTGTCAGGGAACTGCAAACTAAAACCACAATTAGATACTACATCATACACACAAGGAGACTATAATCAAAAAGACAGATAATAACCAATGACGAAGATGTGGAGAAACTGGAACTCTCACACACTGCTGGAAGGAATGCAAAATGATGCAGCCGCTTTGGAAAACAGTCTGTCAGTTCCTCACAAGGTTAAAATAAGAATTACATATAATTTAGCAATTATACTTCTAGGTACATGACCCCCCAAAATGAAAACATATGGCCACATGAAAACTTACACACAAACATTCATAGCAGCATTACTCACAATAGCCAAAAAGTGAAAACAACTCTAATGTCCATCAAAGGTGAATGGATAGACAAACTGTGATATATCCGTACAACGGAATATTATATGACAATAAAAGGGAATGAAGTTCTGATACATGCTACAACATGGATGAACTGTGAAAACAGCATGCTAAGTGAAAAACATCCAGTTACAAAAGACTGCATAATGTATGATTTCACTTATTTAAAACATCCAGAATAGGCAAATCTGGAGAGACAGAAAGTAGATTAAAGGTTTCCGGGCACTAGGGAAGATAAACAGTTTGGGAGTGACGAGCAAGGAGTGGGAGGTTTCTTTTTAGGGTGATGAAAAGTTTCTGAAATTGATTGTGTGATGGTTGCACAACTTTGAATACACTATATGCCCCTAACATACTCATTTTAAATGAGCAAACTGTATGGCGTATGAATTACATTTCAAAAAAGCTGTTTTTAAAATAAAGGAAGTGAAACTTTAAACAATGATTGCATTGTGTGTTTACTGGGTCTCTGGGGCGGGGGGCCCTTGTCTATCTTATAACCCCTCACCTTCCCAAGAGTATGCACTAGGCCTAGTAAAAAGACCAACACAAAGTGGATGCTTAGTAATAGGCAGACACCCAGCAAAATTGCTGTAAAATGAGTTTCTGTAGGGGAAACAAATTTTTTTGTTTCCAGTTTGACTTTCATGTTTAAGTCAGAGATGCTCTCTTATATTAAATTTCTCTCCAGCCCAGATATGCTATAAGGATTTATGAAGAAATTTAAGCCTTCATTTGCTTCTAAAATACCTTCCTACTCACTGCTTCTACCCAGACCACAGGAAACCATACTTAAAGATACTCTGGCGGCATTCTGGAGACTTCCATTCTCCTTCTGTTCTGGCCAGTGTCTACGCATGAGTGCTACTACGTTTCTCCAGCAGGTGTTGCTATCTAACCTTTGATGTTAAGCACCAAACAAACTACACAAACTGCCAGGAGGTGGAGCACAATTCCCCTTACGCACAGTGTGGGCTGCGCATAAAGAGCGACTTGCTTCAGAAGAGTACGGTATGGAGAGAGAGAGAAAAAAAAGAGTAACTGTAGAACAGAGACACCTCAAGTCAAGTGATCATCAACTGTGATAAACACCGTGGATAATATGTACTCTTGATACGATGCAGATGGTACTTTACCTCTGTGCTTTTCCTCCCCAAAACGCATTAACCCAGTCTAATCATGAGGAAAACACCAGACAAATCTTGACTGAGGGACACTCTATAAAATGCTTGACCAGTACTCCTCAGCACTGCCGAGGTCATCAAAAACAAGGAAACTGTCACAACCAAGAAGAGCCTAAGGAGACCCGATGACTAAACACAATGCTGTATGCTGGATAGGATCCTGGAATAGAAAAAGGGCATTAGGCAAAAACTGAGGAAATCTGAATAAAGGACTTTTAGGCAATGATAATGCACCATCACTGGTTCATTTAATGTGACAAATGTGCCACAATAATGTAAGATGTTAATAAGCAAAACCGAGTGTGGGTATGTGAGAACTCACTGTACTATCTCTGCAATAATTCTGGAACTTGAAAACTGTTCTAAAATAAAAAGTCTATTTAAAAAAAAATAATTCACTAGCTGCCAATTTTGCCAAATGAAGATTTTTTTTTTTTTTTAATTCTATTTTAAGTGATAGTTCCAGTGGTTTAAAAACTATAGTTTCTTCTTCGAGCACATTTTTAACTGGTTAGAAGAAAGAAAAGCAGAACTTCAGGCTTGGAGAGCAGAGGGGATATGCGATTGGGGGCTGGGGGATTCCCTGAGAAAGAATGAAGCCCCAGCCAAGACCCATCGCTTCCATCACAGTACTGGAACCACAGCTGCTTCCATCTCGAAAATCAAGAAAACTGCCAGAGGGTCACAGCATATTCAGCCTCTTTCGACCATGGGGCCGGGGCGGGGGGCAGAGTGGGGGAAAGCACTGGAAAATGCAGTGGGGACAGGAAAATCAGCAGTGCTAAGACGTTATTCAGCCAAGGTGGCTACTGAAAGATAAAGCCCTGATGAAGGGCTTTACGACCCAAATTGCCCTAAAATCACCAAAGCCCCAAGAAATCTCTGGAGTGTAAATAATTATAATTTCTACTAAAAAAAAAAAAAGTAGTCAGAAAAATACTCAATGTGTGTGTTGATTTTAAGTCTTTTCAATTTTATTTGCTCTGATTCTGTTTTAAAAATGAGATGTAAGTAATAGATAAATATGCTGTTTAAATAAATAGAGCTAAGGTGGCTTTTCGGTTTGTCTTTTAAATGAAAAACTGTGGCTGAGTGGATCGTGTGCTAGATTTCTGCTCCCTGAATTACCCAGGTGTAAAGAAAGCCCCGGATGGCTGTAGCCTGAGGCATCATTCTTCACTTGGTGGCAGCTATCCAAACCTTAATAGTTTGGATATTCACTCTAGGACGAGTGAAACTGAAAGCCTTTAAAGAGACAGCAAATGAAATTTAGGATTCTCCATACTTCAAAAATTTATCATAATAGAAGTGAAAACCTACCCCACCCTACGCAAAAAACTGGCACTCTGCATAGCAAGCAAATCAGAACCCAAAACACAAAAGGTGAAATATATTATACAGTATCCATAAACATGTTTTACATACATTTGATGGGTGAATCTGGTCTCAAATGTAAGGCAGAGTCTGCCTGTAATTTAAGGGATGAGAGCTGAGTGAACATCCATCCACAAGAAAGATAATGCAGGAAAAGTGAATAGCAAGCTATAATGACTTAGTACCTACGGGAATGAGATGAGTGGGCTGTGATTCTTCCAGTTTGTTCCTCAACCAGTCGAAATCCTGGTATCTTCGACGAACAGAATATTCTGGCAGGTCAAACTCCACCCGAGTACTCTAAAAAATAATAAGAGTGGAACAAAATAAGCATAAGGGAATAGGAGCACATCTTGGCAGAGGACAAGGAAAAATGCTCTCTTTGAATAACCAAACTGCACAAGAACACGCGTTCTTTCCACCAAACGCACCAGCCAAATGGCAGGCTTTACCAGCACAGAATGACCACTCTGGGCCGCGGGTCCCAGTTAAAAATTCAAGGATCTAAATCGAGAATAAAAATGTCGAGGTTTTTCATTTCTACCCTCAGGAAATGAATCTCAACTATCCCACAGAACTGTGTTCAGAAACATTTGATTCATTTCCTCCAAGCTTAACTGAGAATTTCTTTTAGCAGAATCATTCCACAGAGGATATTGCTACTAAATCCAAATCTGTGAATCTGTTAAAAGAATTTATATCTCCACCTTCTGCTAAATATGCTAACAAGTTTTGCCAGAGGCAGAGGGGTAACAAAAAGTAGAGATAACATCACATTTAGGATCCAGATTAGATGAAATAGAAGGTTTTGCCTCATCTACCATATTCTGGCCAGAACTATAAACTTTAAATTACACTGCATTTTAGATAAGAAAAAAAAATTTAGAAGGAAATAAAACCAAAATGCCATTATAATGATGAAAAATATTTATCTGATCCCCTTTCTTGGATTTAAGTTTTCTGAAATGTGATTGTAACACTTTGATAATGAAAACTAATGTTAAATAAAATTAAATTATAGCGAAACAAGATTTTTACACATTAATTAGCTCAAACTAAAATTGTGTCTCTGATAAACTACTTTTCCCTATGGGGGTACTGACTATATGATAGTCACAGTTCTCAGAAATTAAAGTATACAATAAAAATGGTTTGAGCTACATTTCATAAATTTATTCTTTCACGCCAAAAGTCTGTTTTAAACTACAACACCGAGAATACCTTTAAAACACATTAACAAGAGTCATCCATCAGAGAAAAAGCCGTGAACAGTTTTGGCATTGAAAATTATTATTTCATCCTCCCTGAAAGCGATGTTCACACCGTCTGGGCAAAACCGTGAAGTTAAAGGCCTGGGTCTTGGACTAACCCCCAACTAACTCTTTCTGCATCTTTTCCCTTTTCTGGAGTCCCATGCACCAGCTTATGCCCAGGAAACACAACTTTCCCTTGCGATGGTGGTAAGGGTGTGAAGATGCGGGGAGATTCCTTCAACTTAGGTAGGTAGGATTTATTGGAAGACTCCCCAGAGGAATTAGCATTGTGGACGTGGAGAGAGAGAGAAAAAAATACTTAAATCCAAAGAACAAATCACTGCTGACGAATTTTCAGGCATAAGGGTCAGGAAAACACACACACACACACCCTCCCCCGGAGGCAAAATGGGAAGAACTCTGCACATGTGCAGCTCAGCACCCCCACCAGATTCCTGGAACACCAACCACTACGCCTGCCAGAGCCTTGGTTTCTGCAACGGTAAGAAGAGAGTTGGAAGCAACGTCCTTGGGGAACCCACAGGGCACCCCAACAGGCTCCATGAGGACTCGTTGATAACAATGGGCCCATGAAAGGCAGATTTCAAAAGGTGACAAATGAATTCAACCCATTTTCATTTACATGATATCAACCCATCGCTTCTCTTTATTATGCTTTTGCAGATCCACTTTATAAATTATAGCTTATGTAAGTAACGTTTCTACTCTAATTTTGAAATCAATATTTGGTAACTATAAAAAGCAGTAGGATAAAACACAAGTTTGTTTCTGCCGTAATTAATTTTACTTTTGGGGAACCGTTTTTTTCCTTCTCTGTTCATTCAGGTTGGACATACTTACTCATTTTAAAACTTCAGGAAAAATAAAGAAAAGAAAAATAAAAGACCCATACTCCTCTAAATAGAGAAAAATGCAATTAATATTATGGTTTATGTCTTTTCATGTTTTTTTTTCCCCTACGTATTTTTCCAGAAATACACCAATTTTTATTCTTACCCCAAATTCTCAACATTGGTGACCTTTGATAGACTTATAACTGAAAAATAATATATTATCTTTGTTTTACTTTTGTTTCTTTAATGAGTATTGGGATTAAATATCCTTTCAAATATTTGTTGGTCGTAGTTTTTCTTCTTTTGTGAGGGGTCTTTATTAAATTTTGAGTCAAGTCTTTTTCATTCGTGAAGACTCTTTATAGCCATTGGTCTATCATAATTTTCAAATGGTTTTTCTGACATAGAGCTTTTAAATTCATCCATTATTTTCCCTTCTGCTTGCCACTTTTGTTGTCATCCATAAGAAGCGTGTCTCCATTGCAAGCTTTTAAAAATATTCACCTGTATTTTCTCCTTTATTTATGGCTCTTACATTTATGCCTTTAATTACTGCTATTCTACTTCTAGGAATTAACCATTAGAAGAAAATTTTTAAACTGTGGCAAAGGTATCTGTTGATGATGTTCACTGCAATATTATTTAAAATAGCAGAAGAATAAAAGCAACCTGAATGTCCAGCAATAAAAAATGGTTAAGGAAATTATGGCATATTTATTCTACGGTTATCAGTAATCATGTCTTTAATACATTTTCAATGACAAAAATGCTCCAACATAGTTTTAAGAGAAAATAGCAAGATACAAAATTAATTGTACATACATTATGATTTCATTGGTGTTAAAAATGTGAATATAAAAGGTTAGAAGGAAACTCTAGAACTGATAATGAAAACTGTCCTCTTTTTTACTCATCCTTATTTCCAAATTTCCTACTATATTTACACAATACTTTTATAGTCACACACACACACACACACACTCATTTTTTAACAGCTCCTTTAAGGACAAAGGAGATTTAACAAAGCAGTAAAACTCGTTTGATGCATTGGAAAGCAATATGATAAAAAATAATCTTCATGAAACAGAAGGATGTTCATACTCCCTGACCCGATATTTATTTTACTTATTTTTACCACAACTTGTTCTAGAAAAGATATAGTGATATGTGAAACATGATCAAATGATATAAATTAGAAGTAGGTGAGAAGATAAAGGAAAAACAAGGACAGAGAGAAAACTAGAACCAGGAACGAGGCTAGCAAAACACACTCACCTCGGAATTATGCTCACTTGCTAAAACTGGGCCACAGACATTACTGGGAAATTCTGGAGAGAAACCCAGTCAGTTATAAGACTCACGGTACTCATAAAATATGCAGGCCAATATAACTCCAACTGTGAATTTGTAGTAACTTTTTCCTCTGTGAAATTCAGGTTCTAACTTAGAAAGAAAAATAAGGTAATAAATGTTTATCTGTTTTCTAATATATGTGGTGAACAAAACAATAAAGAAGAAAGAAAAGTACACACGGTTCGCAGTCAGAGACAACCACTACACCATGTCGTTCTGTGTCCTTCTGTAATGTGTTTCCCAGTCTACAATGACCCACAAATATCACAAGGTCATGAGTACACACCTAAAGTCAGATGAACAAAGAGGTAAGCATTCGCAAGAGTGGTAATGAAGAATATTCATTTTCGCCATCCCTCCGTATCTTCTTGCTGATCTGTAGGCATCCTCGCCTATTTTTTATTTAAGTTCAACACTTTGGAAGACCTAGCACAGAGCTAGACTACAATCGATCACCCAGGAGAGTCCCCCGTCCTCTGGGCCTCATCCTACCACAAAAGAACTCTTATTCTCCAGGAGCTAAACTGTCCAACGACTATGGCCTGGAGCCATTCCAGAGGATTTCTATTCAATCCAAAATTTACAACTGGCTCACTCAAGAGAGATTTGGTATTTGTCAGAAATGCCACTTGTCTGGCCTCGGCTGGATCTTAAGAAATCTGAGTGACCTCCTCTGCCCCAAAAGGGACTTCTTTCCTCGCCAAGTATTAGCCAGCTAATTGCATTCTGCTTCGAAAGCCCACAGGCCTAAGAGAGCACCTGAGAACGAGGCCTGGGGAGGCTTTTGGCCCCTTCTCCTGGAGTCCCCCTGGGCTTCCGCACTTCTGACACAAACTGCCACTTACCTCCTCCTTCTCAGATCTTCCACCAGGTGCTCTGGAACACCCATTTCATAATTAATAATCAAGTCCTGTAGTTCTTCAACCCATTTGGATTCTGAAAGCTGGCTCTCCCCTGAGGATAAGGCCTCCCTACAGTCCAATCAAGTGGAAAGCTGCCCATTTTCTCTCATTTCCCAAACCTCACCTCACCCTCTAAGACCAAGGGCTGCTGCTGACATCCTCCTCATTCCACGCTGCCCCTTACCACCGCCCCTCCACGGCACGGCCCTGTGAAAACCCTTTTGAGGCCCATGCCATCGAGATATATCCATCTCTATTCCTCCTCACCCCTGTCATCTACTGACAGCCCTGTCATTTATCCTGATTCCCTGAGAGCACCTGGCTCTCAGGCTTCCTTTCCAAAGACCTCCCATAATCTGGGTGCCCTCAAGAGCCAGGTGGTTTGCACATACAACACCCACCACCAAGCCGACAACGTCCCCTTCCCGTGGCCTCTCCACAAACTGTCATCACGCAGAAATTTAAATATCGTCCTCCCTAACCAGCACCTCCTATATTTCAGATTCTTCCATTTTCCTCTGTCCCTGGTTTTTTAGCCTTTGGGACCTACAGTTCCTTAGCACTCTGTCCATTCCTGTCTTCACTTCCTTCCTTAATCAGCATCAATTCCATGACCCATCATTCCTATCTCTGACTTGCCAATATCCTAAATGCCCCTTCCCCACTGTCCTCTCACACAACTCTGGCAAAAACACGGTTATCCACTTCTTGCTCTAACAGACCTGGGCGTGTGAGCACACTCCTGAAGGAAAAGCAAAATCAAGCAAAACACATTGACTGATGCTATGAATTCTACGACTCGACCCTCCATACTGCCAAACAATCTTTCTACACTTCCTTAATCAACTCTCTCCCTCACTTTCCTCATCAATACATGTAAAACCTATACAAGTTTTGAAAACTTCTAGGTCCCACTTCAACACTTCCCTCTCACTCTTAGTAGAAGACCAATCTATCTATCTAGCCACAGAGAAAACTGCAGCTATCAGCAAAGAACTCTCAACTTTCTGCCACAAAAAAAACTTTCCTTCTTTCTCCAGGAATAATGAAAAAAGTTCACCTCCCCCTCATCAGAGGCCACTCTGTCCCTCCACTCTGCTCAGGATACTATCTCTTTCCACCTTCTCGGTGGCTTCCGATCTTCAATCTAACGTCTCCTTCCTTCTCAACATGTCCACTTGGCACTTAAGTCTCTTCCATCCTTAAAAAACAAACAAAAGTCCCTTCCCCTCAGACCATGCCGTGCTCCAGCTACTGTTCTTCCTCTATACTCACGTTCATTGCCAAACTACCAAAACTCATGATGTCTCTCTCCTTTCTTCTCAGTCACCCTAACCTGCTGCAAACTGGGTTCTGCCCCACCACACCAATGAAACTGCTCTCACCGTAGCCATCGATAACCTTCTTGCCATTAAATCTAATGTTCGCTTTATAATCCTTATATATAACTTGACCTCTGAGCAGCTTTTAGCCAGGTGATCACCAGGGCATTTGAAAAAAGGAACGAGTTGGGGCACAAGTCTTGGTAATGACTAACTGGTGATGGAGAAAAGACAAGAGGAGGATGGCTTATAAAGAGAGCTGAAGGCTCCTCTCTAGTTTGCCAGGCCCCAGTCTATTTCCACATCATCATCACCGGTTTCAAAAGCCAGGCCATGGTAGCAAAACCACAGTGCCAGGGGAGGCGGGGGGCAACCCTCGAAAATTATGTCATGACCTGGATTCAAGTTCTAGCTTCACCACATATTAGTTGCGTATCTTTGAGCCATTTTTTAAATATCTCTGTGTCTCAGTTTCCTCATCTACAAAACAAAAATACCACCGGTACCTATTTCATTGAGTGTGAGGATTAACTGATGATATATTTAAAGCACTTAACACAAAATAAATGATAGCTCATCCATAGAGCAGAACATTATTGCAGTCTTAGAAATGACAGCATAAAAGCATGCTTACTGGCGTTTACTGGCATAGAAAGATGGTTGCAACATATTAAGTGAATTGACAGCATGCAAAACACTCACTTATGTAAGTGAATAGAAATAAATAGTTCATAAAGTTATAAGTGATTATTTCTGGCTGGTGAGCTTACAGATCTCCTTTTGCTTCAATGTTTTAGCTTACTTGAGTTTTCTAATTCCTCTTCAATGAGCACTATTACTTACATGAAATAAAGTTTAAAGGGTTTCTATTGCAAAACAGTACACAGCACATGGTTCCGTGCTCAATAATTAGTTAATATGATGATACTTTCTAGGAGCCTGGAGAGAAAATTGTCAACATCTGCCTGCCCTGAAAAAGGCCTCTCTTCACTGCTGGAGAGATAAGATACCCACGACTTAGATTTGGGTGAAGAATGCTTTGCCTATATTGGCTCTCAGCTGCAGGATCATTTTAGCCCAGGCAAAAGCAGCTCTATACCTTGTCCAGCTTTGCTCATCAGGAGTCTGAGTTAGGACATCTGAGTCAAAGCTCAAAGTAACAGAACAGGTATTTGTATGACCTTGTCTTCTCACCATTCACTTTGCTTGAGAATCTCAGCAGAAGTGGGGATCCCGGGACAAGATCAGGTGTTTGGGACACTGAGTTCCTGGTTGTTCTCTCTCTCTCATCCCCACATATCCCTACATATCCTTTAACACAACATTCAGAAAGAAGGCTCCAAATGCATCACCAAGATATTAGAGCCAGTGTCACTATTTGAAACAGAAAAAGAAAAGGACTCTGGTTTGAGACAGGAAGTGAAATTGACAGTAATAAGTGAAACGTAATTCTGCGACAAGTTCACCTTGAGGTGTTGGCATCACCACCAGTGAAAATGTGGGATCGGAACTTGGAAAAGGTTATCCTAAGACATTATCTGAGTTATAGGAAACTGAACAGCCCCAGAAACAGGGACAGAAATAAGAACACAAAGAGAAAGAGGAAGGAAAGAAGGAAAGAGAAGAGGCACAAGAAAGAGTGGGAGGCTGCAGCCTGTGTCTCGGCCTGTGCATCAGTGAACAGAGGTCTGCAGTGTTAGCATTTTGGGAGCTAAACTGAGGGCGGAAGAATCAAGCAGGGGTGGGAAAACATCAAGGGAGGTGAGCATCGCTGTGCCAGCAAGGCATCACCTTGTCATTCAGCTGTTTAGAGCACAAATTCAAGAAGAACAGGTATTGCATTTCACTGACGACAGGGTAAAAAATAAGTTGACCCTAGGGGAAAAAATAAGTCGCTGGAAATAATTCATGGGAATACACGTATATATCAACCTAAGACCTCTGAGAATATAATATACATCTAAGCACCTAGCCC